AGAAGAAACTCGACCGAAATATAAAAAAAGACAAAAGTAAATAATTTGTCAATTAGTCAGATATAATTGACAGCAAATAATTTATTAATCCTAGGAAGATAAAAAAATTCTTTCTTCAGGACAGTTGAACTTTGAAGCTATACTGCACCGAATGAGATTAAAACAACTAATCAATCAATCAATCAATTCAACCAATTAATTAGCTTGTAAAGCGATATCCCTCAATGAATTTTGCAAACAGATAGGTCTTGATATCCGCTCTGAACTTCGTAAGTGATGGAGAAATAGTCAGAGAAGTAGGTAGAGTGTTCCAGAAAAAAGGGCCAAAAAAAGCAAAAGCAGATTTAGCAAAAGAGTGTTTAACACGAGTTAAGAAGAAGCGAGAACAAGAAGACGATCGTAGACGTAAATCCTAAGGGGCGTTTAGGTTCAATTAATATATCTGATAAGTACATAGGATATAATTTAGATTGAGACTTGTACATAAATATGCAAACTTTAAAAATTAAAATTTATTCTAAATTTTTAGGTAGCCAGTGCAAGAGATAGATGAGAAAAGAAAGGGGCACGAGCAACTAGACGAGCAGCAGAGTTAAAAGCTTTACCTAAAGGATAGAGTATAGAAACAAGAAGACCATAGTAGAGCGAGTTACAATAATCAATCCTAGATAAAACTGACGAAGTAACCAGAAATAGAAGAGTATGAGCATCAAAAAAAGGCAAAATATTTTTTATTCTACTTAGATGAAAGTAAGAACTTCTAGCAACACTATTAATCTGAGAAGAAAATGACATACTAGAATCAAAGATAAAGACTAGACTACAAAACTTGCGAGAAATATCGAGAGTTTTAGAATCAGGTAAGATAATAGGAAGAATAGTAATTATTTAGATTTATTAAAACAAATTAATTCAAACTTAGAAGGATTAAGTTTAAAACACATAAAGTCAGATCAAGCGATAATTGAAAAAAGACATAGAGATAGATTATGAAGAACATTAGATGGAGGAAAAGAAGTATAAATATAAGAATCATCAGCGTATAGTTGACTAAAGAAAGAAAAGTTATTAATAAGACGAGGTAGTTCAGAAGTATAGAGTATAAATAGAAGAGGGCCAAGGATGGAAACCTGAGGTACCCCGAAAGTAAGAGTAGAGGAGTTAGAAGTAGAATTATTGAGAACAACAGAAGAAAAACGATTACAGAGATAAGAAGAAAACCAAGATAGATAAGAAATCAGTAATATTAAAAAAAAGATCTAGCAGCCTCAAGAGAATAGTATGATCAAGAGTATCAAAAGCAGAGGAAAAGTTAAGAGCAAGAAGAAGAGTAATATTACTATTTACACTATAGAGAAGGATATCATTATGTATTTTTAGTAAAAAAGTTTCCGTACTGTGAGCAGGACTGAAACCAGATTGAGATACAGATAGCAAAGAGTTAGAGTTTAATTAAGATGGCAGTTGATTAAATACTACTTTTTCTATTATTTTAGAGATGAAAGTAATATTAGTAACAGGTCTATAATTAGATAAAGAGGTAGGATCTAAGGATGCGTTTTTAAGAATAGGAAAAACAACAGAATTCTTATAAAAAGTAAGAAATTTGGAGGTAGAAAGAGATAGATTTACTAATTTGGGAATGATAGGATAAAATATTGAAGAAAATTCTTTAAGTAAATTAGAAGGAAGTAGATCTAGAGAACGACATAGAATTAATAATTTTAGTAAGTTCTAGAAAATTTATTGGAATAAATACCAAAAATGATTTAGTAGTAAGTTTAGTAAAGTTATGAGAAAAAATTAGAATTAGATGTTCTTAAAGAAGTAATTTTATTTACAAAAAAGTCATGAAACTGTTGAGCAGAAAATAATGAGTGAGAGGATTTCTTATGAAGAAGTTTAGATAGAGCAGACAACCTATTTTTAGATGTTGAAGCAGATGTCATAAAATTTCTAAAAAAGTAGATTGTTTAAAGAATAGTAGATATTTATAATTAATCAATTCAGATTCATAGATAAAATAAAGAGAGTTAGATGGATTTAACCTATAGGCTTTCTCCAGTCTTCTAAGACTTTTCTTGGCTAATACACAAGCATAATCGAACCAAGGAGCCTTACGAGAATAGAGTCAAAAAAGAGAGTCAATAGAGGAGTCTTACGAGAATAGAGTCAAAAAATAGAGTCAATAAAGTAAAAGATTTAAGAGGAATAAGCTTATCAAGAATAGAAGTAGGGTAGATATTAAAAGCATAGACAAAATCATCACCATCAGAAAATAAGGTAGTATCAAAAATAGTTTCAGTAAGAGATTGAAGAAAAATATTTTTATTAAGAGAAGACCTGCATCTTTTAGAAATAGACATAGATGAATAAGAAGGTAGAAAATCAAATGGAAATACAGATTCAACAAGGAGGTGATCAGAATGAGAAACAGAGCTAGCAGAGATATTAATAGACTTAGAAAAAGATGAAGCTATAATAAAATCAATAGTGTTACCAAAAATATGGGTAGGAAAGAACAGTATTGTGTTAGGTTAAAAAGAGACAAAATATCATTAAATCTACAAGTGTAAGAACATGATAAGTTATTGAAGTGCAAGTTGAAGTCACCAGAGGTGTAATAGGAATAGAAAAGGAGTAGAGAGATTCAGCGAGTGAGTAGAATTTATCTAAAAATAAAGTGAGAGAAGAAGGAGGGCGATATATTACAGAAATATAAAAAGATAGAGAAGAAGACTTAAAAGATACAACAAGACATTCAAAAGAAGGAAAATTAGAGAAAGTATTATGAAAGCAGTAAATAGAGATTTATAAAATAGATAGACACCCCCATAAGACGAATGAGAAGATGATAGAAGATCTTTTGGAGGTCAAGAAAGTTCAAGAAAGCTGTATCAATCAGGAGTAGCAAAAATAAGAGAGGGAGAGTTAGATTCCTCGGGCCAAGTTTCAGTAAGACTAAAAAAAATCAGGTTAGGAGGAAAAGATTATTTGATGGATATATAGCGATTTTTTATTAATTGATCTTATTTTTATATTAAATAGTGAAATTGTAGAGGTAGGATGGATATTGGTACTTTTAAATCTAGTTATATTTAAATTAATAGAATTATTATTCTTATCAATAGTATTTATTACATTAGAGTGTGATTTAATAAAGTTATAATACTTGCTATTAGTATTATTAATATAATTATTGTTACTAATTATATTTATTTCTTTGTTAGAGTTAGATTTATTGTTTTTATTGTTATTATTAGCCCTAAGATTAAAGTAAAAAATTCGCCGCACAACTACTCTCGTCGGAGACAAAGGAGTGTTAGAGAGGCTTTAAGAGAAAGTCTCTCTAGACTAAAGTAAGATATAATAATATTTACAAGTTATAGAAAAAGATATAGAAAAAAAAAGTCAGAGTAAAAAAGAAGTGAACTCACTTGTTCAGAAGCAAAAAACAAGAATCCACCCAAATTACAAAACCACCGAGAAAACGTGCCGCCATCACGCTAAACGTAAACAAATTTTGAAGAAATTAAAGAAATAACTTTCTGTAAAAGCATAGTCGCAGCTATAGCACACGCAGTAACAACTAAAACTCTCACTGTAACAACGTAGACTTCAAAAAATAAAGTAGTCTAAAATTACTTAAATATGATTTTTCAATATTTTCTTACGTTATTTATTTTTTTATTTCGAAATTTGCTCCATAAAATTTGTCGCCTTTATTTGGTAAATAGTAAATAGTTCTCTGGAAACCTATTTATAGTTGTTTATCAAACGTAACTCGAGAAAGTCTGCCCAGGCGAGCATTCTAAGACTCAAAGAGCATCGTTTAAACGTGTTATGCTTATTATGCTCGATCAATCCATTTTTCAGTTTAATTATTTTTAAAATGTGTGAAATTATTTGCCTGAGGACAAACAAATGCACCGTTGAACAATCTTGGTTCACGTAAAATAAAAGTTTTCTTCATTCAAATCTTTTTATTTATTCCATTTTTTAAATTTTACTACAGTTTAATGTCTCAAACATTTAAGCATACCTAAGTTGTGCCGCACCTTTAGAAGGTGTTTTAAGCAAAGTGGCAGGGACAAAGAATAAAATATTTTCAATACAAACATCACCCCTTCAATGACAAACTTGCTAAACCTTTTCTCAGATTTCACCAGAGACTGAAATTTGCTGAATTTGACTGAGAGCATTACGTTACATTTGCATTACATTTGTTAATCAATTATTTTTTCAAATTATTTTTCAAGCATCTTATGCTTTAATATGCCATTGCAATGATCTTAAAACTCACCGTCAACATTAATTAACCTTTATTCTATAAAGTCTTCAATTTGATTAAAAAATTCACCCTTAGAACTTAGCGTTTTTTTAATCTGCATGAAGAAATATCATAGAAAGAAAAAACCTAACATTCAATTTTGCAAAATAACTCTGATAATGTTTTTAAAAAATGTAAATAATAAAATAAGATTATATAAATAAAATTGAACAAATATTTTAGTCAAAAACAATTAAAAGAAAGGTTAATAAAATCTGAGTTCAAAATTCAAATTTTGAAATAGGTCACACCACTAGACGGCCTTTAATAAGTGCAGCAGCATGTTTTAACTTTTTTATTACTTTTACGTTTTATTTAGTATCACAGTTAATTAATTTTCATTTTTAATAAGGACATGGTAAATTTTTAGTTTTCGCCCATTTCCTATCATATTTATGTTAGGGTAATAATGATAATATATAATATGTTATGTCAAGCTGTGTTAAGTTTTGTTATGCTTATTATGTTATGTCATGTTATGTTATAAATAAACATAAATAAATAATGGGCTTAAACGTAAGTTATATATGCTCATATCAAAATAGCATTAAAACACAACAAAAAGCAATCAAACAGCAATGTCAATTTTATGATCATAAAAAATTCTTTGTTGGCCATAATTAAGTCAAAATTCTTCTTGAAGTTATGTTATGCTATGTTATATTGCTATGTTATGTTATTAAACATTCCCCTAGATGCGAAAGGC